CCCCAGAATAGTATAGGTAATTACTAAGGCCCGTATACTAGACCCCTAAACCCCAAATGCATTCCTGAACCCCTGAGGACCAGCCTCCTTGCGCAGGTGGTACAAAGTTGACCTGCAAAGGACCGGACCATGGCTGGCTTCGTTGTAACATAGATAATCTAGAGGCCTTAATTACTAGAATAGGGTTTGGGGTATTACTACACTATAGATGACAAATTCACGGTCAAGTCTTAGCAGCCTAGCCCCTAAACTCCCATAACCTACTTCTTTGCAGGCTCTCTACATCAATCCTCATGGCATTTAAAGGAACCCCACAAAACGACAAGAATAGGGTTTTGGGAGGCATATTATACGGCATAAGTACATGTAAAGCAGTAAGGGATTTGGTATTGCACCTACTTAGTTCCTCGAATGCTAGAGCCCGAGAAGCCTATGTAGGCAACATGAACCTTCTTTGCGGTCCCAACTGTCGCAACAGCAGTAGCCAGCACCAGCACAGCGATGACCCACAACGACGACTGTCACAAGACTTCGGCGAGTACCATGCCCACATAAGCGGAGAACTTGCAGGATGATGCATCATATTACCTGTAGTCTCCATTGTAGTTCCTATTTTTTTGGTTTAACCAATTCTAGATAAAGGATTTTATAAGGTATCTCCGAAGAGGAACTACAATGGAGACTATAGGTCTTAATATCCGCTTCTTGTTCCATACCGTTGTGCTGGCACTGGCTGGTAGCTTACTGCCGTCAGACGGGCCCTGGCAACCTAAGGCTCGTAACCTTACGCCCTCAGGGCCGCGGCGTTCCGATGGACCCGCCCCCGATGATGACCACATCGGCCTGCTTGGCTCAAAATTACAGCATACCCCAAAAAGTTGGAAACCGGATTAAGGACAAAAAGTGCTGGGTTCCCCTATACATTAGTCTTAAGGGTTGAGGCTATTGGGTTTCCAACTTTTGGGCTTCTACTGCATTAGAGTTTCATGTGCTGGCTTCTTTTTAATGCGGAATTGATCTTCAAGCGACCATAGCAAGGAAAGCCTATTATTGCTATAGATCCCTATAATATGCTAACTTAAAGTAAGCTCCTTGACAAGAACTCAGCCTAGGCCTAGGCTTCCTCTTGGCTTAAAGCTGCCGGTCCGGATTTCGGGATTTCGGGTTTCGCTTGTGGGTTGCAGCTCTGGTAGGGGTTAGGGCTTAGGGTTTAGGGTTTATAGGGTTCAGGGTTTATAGGGTTTAGGGTATCGTGAACCCTACATCGGAAATCATCGGAAGCTGCAGAGTTGCGTCGTACTTCGCACCGAACCAACAAACAATCCTAAAGCAGGGCTTCTGTAGACTCTAGACCCACAGAGCCCTGCACCCAGCAAACCGAGGCCTGAAGCGTTTTTAGGGTTCGGTTCGGGGTTTAGGGTTTAGGGTTTATGTAGGGTTTAGGGTCTAGGGCTTTACGCTGAAGGTGGAGCCATCAAAGTATTTCTTGGCCCCCCGGACTGCCTTGAGAGAGAGAAACCATGGGTTGCGGACACCTTTAGCTAGACCCCAGACCCTAGGATATATCCCTAAACTGCATACCTCTGGCCCCAAATTCTGAGACTTAAGCCATAATTTCCAAGACCCTGGGCCGGTAATTCTGAACCTGAATCCAAAGCCTCAAATCCAAAATTGCCTCAATGCTATATAGTCCTTTGCTCCCTCGGCCCGAAGCCCTCAAACCCTAAAACCTAAACCCTCAACCCTACCTAGCCTCAAACTCCTGGGCCCTAAAACCCTAAACCCCTAAGACCCTAAGCCCCGGAAACCCGGACCACAAAGGCCTGAGTGGGCAGTTCGCCCTGAGAGCCTCGCTTCACAGGGCTTCAGGGCTCCAGGGGCTCTCAGCTGGCTAGGTCGGTTTAGGGTTTAGGGTTTAGGGGTTTAGGGTTTAGGGGTTTAGGGTTTAGGGGTTTAGGGGTTTAGGGTTTCCGGTTTTTGAGTTGGGGTTTAGGGCTTTTGGCGGCTCAGGGTTGGGAGCCGTCTCAATTTTCAAGCCTTGGGGTTTGAGTTACTTTCCAACGGATTGCCCAATGCTTCTGGGTTGGACTGGAGATGCTTTCCCATAGGCCCCATAGTAGTTCCTTTTTAGGGGTTCATATTTAGAACCCTATACTTGGAGGATCATGGGACTTAGTAAGTAAGGCTATAAGTCCCCTAATTGGGGTTATAAGTATAGTTACCTTAGTTATAACCCTACTTACTAAGTCCCATGATCCTTTAAGTAAGGTAATCCCCAAAAGGAACTACTATGGGGCCTATGGGTTGTTTGGGGTTTGAAGATCCTCACCTGGCGCATGCCCTTGAACTCACTAGCAGACAGCTGGGGTTGGAGAGCATTCAGACGGGCCTTAAACGCCTACTATGGGGGCTTTCAAAATTAGAATAGCGTCCCGAATAGGGTTTTGGGGGTATAGTAGACTTTAATCAGAATAAGGAACCCTAAGGAATAGTGTTGGTAATTATTTAGGCCCTTATATTACTTGATTTAGGGTTTCGGGTCCCTCTCCTGCTGCTCTGAAGAAACTTGGTGCGCGGCTCGCAGTGGAAGACTGCCATCTGGGCATGGTTCGAACTATAGCCCAGGGAGAGTAGAGTGTTAAAGGTTAATATAGGCACCTAATTAACGTAAACCTCCCCTACAAACAAGTTGTACCCCACACCTCCCAAACACTCGAGACTGTCCTTGCATGCTGCAAAATTGCTCTAAGGTTGGGCTGCGAAGGCCTCTCCAAATGGCACTAAACCCTCCAAAACCTTTCCGAACCGGAACGAAACCCCTCGGAATCGCAGAGCTTCATAGAAAACCATTCCTTTCGCTAGCCAGCCTGGCGGGAGCTCTGTGTAGGCCGGCAAGACGGGGGAGGGCCCGCGGAGCTCGCGTGCGCAGGAAGGAGGCCATCTTGCCTTCCGGTTCAGGCCCCAAGAAACTTCGGGTGTAGCCCCCATGAACATCGAAGGTGTAGGCGCTAAGCTTCAGATGTAATATTGGTGGTGAAGGTGTAATGATGAGGATATAAGTTAAGCTTCTGAACATCTCCTGAGTTTTGGTCAGGGCCATGTGAAGCATGCTCTGCAAGTAGCGCATGAAACTGGAGGTCTAAGTGCGTTTTGCATACACGGACACATGCGGGTCTTTGGGTATGGGCGCATCCTCCACGGGAGGCACCAGGTTCTGCACTCTCTCTTGGAGAGCAGTGCAGCATGAAGAGAGGTACACACATAGAGGTGTCTGGCTTTAGACAGCCACTCCACGCTCGGACATCATTCTCAACATTGCCAAAGTGGCAGATGTCTGTGAAACGCAACTATATGCAAGCGCTTCCACTCAGCCGAACGGCTGAACCTGCAGCCACATCAAAGTTTAGAAACCTCTTCCTCCAGGTTGCTGTGCATGTGTGCTCCGCCACCCCAGCTGATCAGGCTCCCATTGCCACAAACAGCGGCGAAAGTGTTGGAGCACCCCACGATTTGATGAACATCTTTCAAACGATCTTGAACTTCGCTGCTGTCGCCTCCGTAGCTGCTGTCACCCCAGGTCACCACGGATCCATCCGCCAAGATGGCAGCAAAGGCTCTTCGAGTGGATCGAATCGCTTGCACACCTGTGAGCTGATCTTGTACTTTGCTGCTGTCTCCTCCGCGAGTCTTGTCCCCCCAGGTCACAACCGATCCATCCTGCAGGAGGGCAGCAAAGGCCCCGTAACCCGCTGGCGTTACGTCTAGGACATTCTTCAGCTGATCTCGAACTTCGCGGTCGTCTCCACCAAATTCTTGATCCCCGAAAGCCACGACGGATCCATCAGCCCGGATGGCTGCCCACGCACCCTCGTTGGCCACGAGTTTCTGAACGTTCTGCAGCTCGTCCTTTCTGTCATCTGCGCTGCGCGGGCTTGGCCAAGTAACAACACTTCCATCTGCCAGGAGGGCAGCGAATTCCGTCCGTGCCGGTGCGATCTGCTTCACATCTTTCAGCCGGCCTTCCACTGTGCTTTGGTCACAACGACTCGCGCCCCATGTCACCACCGAGCGATCAGCCAAGATGGCAGCGAAGGCTATTTCACAGCCCACTATCTCTCGCACATCCTTCAGGTTTTCGACATGGTCAGAGTTGGCCCCATAAGAACGGGTGCCCCAGGTTACGACAGATCCGTCAGCCTTGAGCGCCGCAAAAGCAGATTGCGTCGCCGCAATCTGCTGGACATCCTTGAGCTGCTCCTGTACTTCGATGCAGTCCCCTCCCTTGTCTTTCACACCCCAAGCGACCACTTCCCCATCCCCCAAGATAGCGGCAAAAGCCTCTTCGGTAGCCACGACCTCTCTAACCTGGCTGAGCTGATCCGGAACTTCATGGACCTTGCCAGGGCCGTAGCAACCGAAGGTGATCACCTTACTACCGCCAGGGCACCACATGGCAAAGCAAGATCTTGTGGCAGCCAACCGGGGACTTTGGACCACAGCTGTCACCGCGGCTCCGTTGCTGAGAGCCTCCTCAATAATCTGCGAGTCGAGGAGCACTCGATCTCCTAATACAAGTTGGAGGAAGGGCTTCTTGAAAAAGTCCTTGGCAGATCTCTTGAGTTCCGCCACCCCACAACGCGGATCAAGCGACATCGTGGTACTCTCTCCACTTGCCATGGAGATTGTAATTCTCCACTCGCTGTTGCCCGGATCCACTGACTTCACTGCGGCGGACGAGGTTGACGCTCCACAGCCCATGGTATTGAGATAGAGGGCTGACTACAGCACGGAGGGCCAAGCGAACAAATCTTGAGTGAGTGGTCAACTTGCCCGGCAACGCGATAAGACTGATAAGACTAGCAGCTGTTGACGGCACGTTAACCCTACAATCCCTCACCCCTGAACAGA